GGTACACGTCCCAACATCCACATCATAGCTCCAAACTTCTGCCTCACAGTTTTGTGTCTCAGGGGATCTGAAGTCCTCTTATGAGTTCTGTGTGTAGTAGGCACAAACACGAGGAAGACACACGAGCAATCAAAACACTCATGTACGGGAGATCCAACCTTTTAAAATGACATGTCATCTTCAGGAAAATGGACAGAAATGGAGAGTTATTGTTACATGAAATAGGGCAGACTCAACACGAATACTTCATGCTTTTGAAATCCGATTTTAAAAGAAGACAAAACTAGAAGGAGAACTATTTGGCAGGATGAATGAGACAGGTCAAAAGAGGTGGATGGTGGAGTGACTAGGACCAAAGTAAACAATATAAATGTATGACAATGTCACAAGTCCCGCAGTGGTGGCGCACGCAACAAGTGGGGGAGCAGACAAATCTCTTGTGAGTTCAAGGCCAGCATGGTTTACAGAGTGAGATCCAGGACAGCTGGGAATATACAGAGAAAACCCTGTCTCAAAATACCAAAACAAACAGAAACAAAAAAAGGAGGAGGAGGAAGAGGGAAGGAAATGTCACAACAAAACCCATTTATTCTACGATAACTCCACTAAGAATTAGGAGTGGGAAGAGTAAGGAACTGTGAACCTAACCACCACAAGGAAGGAAGTTATGCTAATCCTCCTGAGGGAATTTGCAGGCAGATCCTCCTCAGCTGAGAGCAAGCAACAGCCCGCTGCCCACACCAACAGCACTGGCCCACTAAGCTGTGGCCAGACTCCTGCCCTACAGACACGGATGAACACCTACTGCATCAAAGAGCTGGATTTCTAATACTCGGCTCACAAGCAACAGAGTCACTCTTAGAACATACAAGTTTTCTTCTGAATCTTTGGTTCACACAAAGTACCATGGTTTCTCCAATTTCTAAGCTTGGTAATGTTTAGAACCTATGTTTAGAAATGGTTCAGAACCTACAAAATTTGAACAAACTTGCATTTAAAAATGCTTAGGGATATTTATATAAGTAAATCCAAAAAAATTCTTTGCTACATAAAGCAGTTTATGAACTTTTCTCTCAGCCCATTTGCCTGAATCCCGGATTATATGTATAGTCAGTGAAACTGAGAAGTAGAACGTAAGGGCAATTCTCCACAAAATCATGCACAAGATGAGTAAGAGATAGGTGGACAGACAGCAATAAGATCCTACTTACTGGTCACCAGGCAAAGCAACCAAGCAGAAAGGAGTGGAGTCCAGCAGGCTTTCTAGTTCGAGCATACAACAGACAGCTCTCCCACCAGCCAAGTCTTGCAGCTCTCAAAGGGCCACCCTGTGCAACTCATCCCATTCCGCCAACCTCAAAGTTACTTCCAAACAATTCCCAAAGCAGGACCATCCAGGAGGGAAGTCACACTTCAGCAAGCAACATAAGATGTCACCTGTGGTCTTCAAGATACAAGGAGTTTACACGTGAGAAACACTAACCATCCAAGTCCCGTGGCAGGGACAGCACAAGTGGTGGTTACCAGCATGGCTGCCCCTTCACACCAGCAAACAACTTCTGCCCCGCCCCAAGACTATCACCAACTGTATAAAGGAAAACCCAAGGATCTGAGCAGAGTAATTACAATTTCCCAATATCAAACATTTGGTATCTATTTTAAGTAACGACTGAGAACAACACCATAAAACTTTACATCTTTGCTGAAAATTAGTTTAAATAAATCTTCCTAGGAATACAAATCTTATTTAACATACTCAACTTTAAATGATGGCTCAGTTTTTTTTCCAATATAAGTAACAGGAGACACCTGAATTACAGGCTGCTTAACTACTCACAGGCACGCCACACCCAAATAAGCACAAGACAATTAAGCAGCCAAAAGCAAGCAAGGAACTGTTGGTTCGATGTCTTAAAGTAATTCACTTTACAATCTTCCTATCAGACCCAGATACATTACTGAAGTCCATAGGATTTCTCTAGAAATAATCTTCACTCATTGGGGTGTTTCAACAGTCTAATTCACCTCCTTTGACAGCTACATCAGAAAAGATGTATTTTACCACTCCTATTAACAGCTCTTATGAACGTCAGCAATGTAGTGGGAAAATACAGGGATAAAAGAAAGTCGAACAAATCCTCTTTAAGATATCAAGGCTTTCAAATATCAATGATGCTCTTAGAGACCAGTTTTCAAACAAATCTGGGACAAGAATATTATCAGTATGGAGAGGGAGGACTTGTGTTCACTGTTGTATACAGTAGTTGCCTCCCCAGGCTAGGAGTAAATGAAAACAACCCAGCCCTGCTTCCTCTAAAAACTCCACAGATTCTAACTATATCCTACTCTCCATGAGAACTCAATGCCTACAAGCTGAAATGTCTGGCCACTCACCTCCACTCCAGTCACTTAATTCTCTAGAGAGAAAAAAGAATGTGTGCAGCCAAAACATACGCCCCAGAGAGAGCAAATGGCAACAATCACCACAGAAAACCTCACTCAATTTGGCAACTTACAGCAATAGAGAAGTTTACAAATCTACTGGCTACATTCCTAAAAGTAAAACAATGTACAGAGTAACAGTGTAGGTTTTCTCTTTCAATATATAGAATTGAGAATCTACAAGGAAGAGTTCTCTTGAGTATTTTTAGTAGCATACTTTCTGGTTAAGAAACAATTCAGACGGTGCTTTACATAGTTATAATAAGTACTTTCCATTAATTTAGAAATACTCTTTTTCTCAATTTTCAGCTGGAATTCATTATGTATGCCCTAACAATTCATAACTCAATAAACAATGCATATGCCCAACTTTTAACTGTAACTGAATAAATGCACTGGTATAAAACATAATAAAATGAAATTCATGTGAAGAATCAAGTTTGATTACTTAAGACAGCACAGCTAGCTCCTTCCATCTCGGAATGATATAAAAAAGGCTTTGATTAGATGTCCTCATGACCCCACACATTGACCTACACATATAAGTCTCATTAAGTAAAGCCACTAAGGATGGCCTTCACTGTTTGCATCAACAAGTATTTTAAGGTCACCACAATTTTGATCCCTTCTCAAGTAAGGTCATTTCTGATACTCTTTAGGCTTTTGTCAACTGAAGGTTCTCACATAAATGAGTGATTATTTTTCTCAAATGTCCCAAGAATGATACATGTGTATAATAGTTCTTAATGAACTGGAGGGAAAAGTTGAAACCATTCCACACAATTGATGACTTTAAGACTCAACCTCACCAGAGGTCTGAATGAGCAAAACTGCCCCAGGGTCCCAGGGTCCCAGTGTCACTATCCTGCTGCCAAACCTACCTTCCTAACTACTAAAGAACTACATACTAGGCACACAAATCTAAGAATTAGCTAAAAAAAAAAAAAAAAAGGTTTGCATTCCAACATTTGGCAAATAGGTCCTGCCAGTTTTTTAGGAATAGCAGGAAGTCCAACCAGCCGCCTGTTCCAAACAGTTACTTTAACAAACTAAAAACATACATACTGACAACTCTATTGTTCCAGACAGGGTTTCTCTGTGTAGCCCTGGCTGTCCTGGAACTCACTCTGTAGACCAGGCTGGCCTCGAACTCAGAAATCCACCTGCCTCTGCCTCCCAAGTGCTGGGATTAAAGGCGTGCACCACCACCGCCCGGCCCCATACTGACAACTCTTGTCAAAGAGAATCATCAGCCCTGAGAAAAAATACACTTCTCTTAGTCCCTTTTCTTGTTCCTACTTGTAATAACCACCCAATGAAACTTCATTTTTTAAAAGATATATACTTTCTAAATGTACCATTACTCTCCAATTCTTAGGAAACTATAATGCCTCAAATCTCAGGAAGGACATATTCTTTTCCTCAAAAACAAGATTGTTTTTAAAAAAGATGCTTCAACTTTCAGAAACACCGCTATAATTACTGACATTGCAGAACTTACCATAAAGGAAGTTACTAAAGTGCCAGGCTAGGTGTCGAGCTCGGAGGTAAAAGAGCCTGTCTAACAGGCTCAGTAACTTAGGTTACAATGCCAGAACCTCACAAACAAAACGAAACAAACAAACAAAAACACTGAAAAATAATAATAAAGGTAGCTAAAAGCTATGTGCTTTCATACCAAGCGTCCAAAATACCATTAAGATGGCAGTAACTAAACATGACATTCTCACAAACTAGATTCTGATTGCTTTAGAACACAAATCAGTAAACACTCTGCTTAACCAAATTTCTTACAATTTCAAACACATGAGTAAAGGGGTCTTTAAATCTGAAGGGATGGAATTCACATCATTCTGTGCTTAAGTGTGAACGTGTAGTACCAGTCACATAGGTAAAGGAGGTGGCAGTATGCGGCCGAGTTCACATTTGCAAGACCAACTGCACCCTTTCTCCTGTTTCAGACAACATAAAAGCTCTAAACTGTTCCTTAACTCTAGTCAACGCTCTTCGAAAGACCTTGTCCAATTACTGCCTCTATAGGTAGAGTTGTGGTCACTGTAAAAATTATCTCTTTAAATAACTGTTCTTGAACTTTTCCACAATCCGCTTCAAACTAAGCCGTAGTGACATTAGCCACACCGTAAAAGCAGCAGTTTCCTGGGGGTGAAGCAACACTTTGCATTAACACATACATACATCCAGAAAACAAGTATCCAGTAAGTAGACAGGGCTATTTACAGAGATGCAAGGATCGCGGCTTTGTTAGGAGTCGATCCCAAGGAAAGATAACTTCCCTTTTTCTAACACTCAAACGTCCACGTGAGTCCCTTCTGGCTTTGGGCCTTTAAAATTGCTCGCCTTTCAGCTCCGGGGCAGAACTACACTCAGCCACTGATCTCCCCTGACTTCCTGGTACTAAAAGCTACAACCACGAGGCTGTTTCGTCAGTTTGTTTTAAAACAATACTTGTTCCATTCACCGCGGTGCAAGGGTGTGTGTATGGGGGGGGGGGTGCGCTTCCCCAGCAGAGGAGCCGCTGCCAGGGCAGGGGGTCGTACCTCCAAACAAGTGCGGGGAGAGGTGGGCCGGGAGCGAGCCGATCACCAGACGCGGCCCGCCAGAGCCCCCACCCGCCGGCCGGTCCCGGTCCCTAGAGCCGCCGCCGTCCTCCGGGCTGCTGTGCACTGAGTCCTGTGAGCCGTACGGCCCACTGCCGCTGCCGCCACTGCTGGGGATGCTGAAGGCCGACTGCGCCGCGCGGCCCCCCGCCGCGCTGCCCACCGCCCCGCCGAGCGAGCGGCTACGGGGCGCCGCCGGGGCC